ATGCAATATTCTGGAGGACCTCAAGGTAGCAGTTTAGCCCCTTCAATCTTCTTTCCTCCTGTTGATTATTTTTCTACCAAACACCACAAGATCCCAGAAGTATGAATAACCGTCGGAGTTTACACAGCTACAGTCCGTGACATCTGAAAACAAAAGTACAAGGAGCACCCTGACTTTTCTAAATTAGACATCCTGCGTAAATGGCTAAATAAAAACAAATAACCCAAGGGTATAACAAAGAGATCCACTCGGAACGGGATACAGCAACTTCTCCAAAAATAATCGGCTTCTGGTCCATTCAAAACAGTGACGTTTTCTCTGTGGGTTTGCTCTCGGCTTTAAGTAAACACAGGGTCTGGACCATGCTGTGAGAATCTTCCTTTGGCTACACTTTCAACAATACGACTTTCACACAGCGTATATCCTGCTCTGTAAAATAAAACGTCCACAGTTCTTCTCACTCTTTTTTTTCTTCCTCAAATTCATTCACTCTTTCATATTTGTAAGCATGTAAAAAAAAAAAAAGTCTTAATTTCATTTCATATATTATTAAATATTATTTAAAAAGCATTATGTAACTTTTATGGTAGAGGGTCTGTCAAAGTGTTTTCTCCATGGAGATGTTATTGCTTTGTCTGGAATGTTTCACAGTATGACATTAAATCTTTCTAGCTTCATGAAGCCTAAACCAGACCAAGTTCCAGTCAGATCTGTGGAGAAGCGATCCCACTGTCAGAATTTTGTTTTTCTAGGTATTTTTGAGCTATAAAACCACCTGCAATTTAATAAATGCTGTTTAATGTCATACTGTGGAACATTCCAGGCAAAGCAATGACATCTCCATAGAAACAAGCAGATGACAGATCCTCCAGCGAAAAAGTTACGCAATGCACTTTTAGGCCTTGCTTACATGTACACGGGTATTTTTAAAAACTGAGATATTTCACTTCGTTTGTACCCATCTTTTATACGCAAACGGTAAATTCGCCTCTGAAAACGAATCTTTCTAAAAACTCCGACTAGAGTGGAGATTCTGGAAAACTACAGTTTGGCGTTTGCGTTTAAAGTGAGATGAACAGAGATTTTGGAATGAACAAACACGCCAAAAGTCCGACCAGTGTTTCCCTTTTTCTCTGATGATGATGATGAACATTCAGAGCAGAAGTTGCATTTCTTCCAGTGCAAACACTTTTCATGTGTTTGCATTTGCACACACAGCTGATGTTTCATATCCATGACCAGAGACCAATGAGGCTCGGAGGTCAGCAATTCTGCCACTTCTTTTAACAGATCTGTGGAGAGGCGAACGCTCTTAGTAATGCACGTTTTTCAAGGTATTTTTGAGTAATATATATAACTTTATTTACAGACTCAGGGTCCAAGCCGTACACAGATAGACACACACTCACAATACACTACATTCATATATAAACCCACCACACACACACACACACACACACACACTTAAAAAAAAAAAACCTACAGTGATGCAAGGTCCATATAGTTAAAATACATCCAGCTGGCTTTTCCAATATTTCCAGATGCCAGAATAATATTGGGTGTCACTTTCCTTAACATCAGTCAAGCTCGTTATAATTCCATTTCTTGATTCATTTAACCTACACATAGATTTATACATGAGGTTCCTCATTAGAGCCTGGAATGTGGGAATACTTGCAGTATTGCAGTAGTTGCAATACTTACAACATTAATGAAATAAATGCTGCAGGTTTGAATCTAATCCAGGAGCCGCCCAGAGTCTTGTCGTAGTTTTGACGGCATACCCGGCTATGTATAAACGTAACCTTAATATACAAAATCTATCTTATATATTATTAACCCACAGCTGACTGCACTGTCTGTAATCAGGACAGTTTACGTAATGTCATCTACTACTTGAAACTGCAGAGGCCACTGAAGGCAGCACACACATTTAGATTTCATTCATTTTTGACCAGAAAGATGTCATGACCTTTCAAAAATACATACACATGAATCGCTTTTTCTAAATTAGACATCCTACGTAAATCCCTAAATAAAAACAAATAACCCGAGGGTGTAACAAAGAGACCCACTCGGAACGGGATACAGCAACTTCTCCAAAAATAATCGGCTTCTTGTCCATTCAAAACAATGACGTTTTCTCTGCTTTAAGTAAACACGGGTCCGGCCCATGCTGTGAGACTCTTCCTTTGGCTACACGTTCGACAATACGATTTTCACACAGCTTATATCCTACGTTAGGCCCCATGCCAAGTCCACTTCACTGAAACAACAATGCTCCGTCACAGCCTTGACTTATTCGCCCAAAGGAGTAATAACACGAGAGGTAGTGGAAGTGACAAACAATGGCCAGTGACTATTTTTAAATCACGTCATTCATACGATAAAGAGACAATGGGGTTTTAAAGTGTGGGGGCGGACTTCTGGTATTAACCTTTCAGTGCATTCTCATAGGCTATATTTTAGTTTCGTTTTATCATCAAAATAAACCATGATTAGACTTTTTTCTGTAAAGCGCAGCCAAGCATGAGCTAATATTATCAGTTTGAATACTTTAAAGGCACAGTATTATCAGTCAAATGTATTAAAATTGAGTGTTTATACAGATCTTTTCAAATACTGACCACTGTGGAGCTCAACAGAGACCGCCCAGAAGTTCATTTTTCATGCAATTTTTCTCATAGACTTTCCGAAACAAAATTAAAAGTTTGAAAGCTCTATAATGACTAATGACCAAGACAAGTAGGGGTGTGCAGAAATATTGAAATTAAGGGTGTCAAATCATGCGTTATGTTTTTTAATCGCGTTAATCTCATTTTTAATCTCTAACGTTACTGTTTCTGTATGCGAGTTGCCTTATTACAAAATCTGTTTTTATGTGTTGTTGGAACACAACACATCGCTCCCGCAAAAAATTGTAATTTTCATTCCAGTTCTTGCCGCCTCTATGATAAACCTGCACACGTCTGAGCTCTGAAAACGTCGCGACAAACACAGAACAGACTCACCTTCAGCATCAACATCCTTCTGTCACAGAGAGAACATCTATACTCCACTGAGTCGTGTCCTTTAGTTCCACAGAAGCTGAACCGCATTAGCACACAAGAGCTTTTTTTTTTTTCTTCGCTTAGTTTATGCAAATTAGCCATGCAGTTTTAAGTTTCATTTCAGTGAGACTTGCGCAAATCTGCATTAAACACATTATAATGTCAAACGGGCTGATGTGGCTCTAGAGTGTTCATGGTTTATATGTCGTAAAGTTGAGTTTATTTATGCAGATTAGTAATAGTAATAATAATGATGATACTGTGGAATGTAAGTGACTGCATCTGTTAAAGTTTGTAAACAATAAATGACTTTATAAAGACTTTTTTTTGTTCTATATCAGTCTTTTGATCTGCCACAATAATGTAATAATGAATTTAAATGAAAATACCTCAAATTGAAGCTTTTCTCAGCAATTTTTAGGTGGGATTAAAAAGATATTAATTAGATTCATTAATTACAGATCATAATTAATTAATCTCTCAATTTTTTTAATCACTTGACAGCACTAATTGAAATATCGATATATCGTTTAATGTGATGATACCAGTGGTGGGGCGTCAGAACCTTCAAGTCCTTCTCTGCTGGCCTAAAAACATATCTGAATCACAGACTGATGTTAACGATATTATTATTAAATACTTCCAAATGGTCTGTCCGCTTCCTTTCAGAGCTTTTCCGATGCTTGTGCTGCTTCCACACATGGACGTTCATATTAAAGTATTTGACCAATCACATTTCAGCCGTCACTTGTTGCTAGGCAGAGTCAAAGTCAAAGAAGTGTCCCTGAGACCTTTACAATCCGTTCTGAAAGCCCCCGAACACTAAATAAATGTAAATGAAACTATTGCTTCAACCAATCAGATTTTGAGTTGGTGTTGCCAGGGCCTTTAGCAGACGTACAGCAATGTCACCGGATTCAGACCCGCTGACTGGACAGTGAGAAAGCAAACCAGTCAAAGCAGTAAACTGTATTTGTAGCTGAACCTGGACTAAACTAGGACTAAACCAGGTCTAAATCAGGACTAATTTTGGACTTGAGAAAGAGTAAGAGAAAGAGCGCGAAGTGGGAGAGAGTGAGAGAGTGTCCGCAAAGTTTTGTTGTTTGTTTAGAGTAAGGAAACTCGTTTATTTGACATTTTCACTGTTTTGAGGATTAAAATGTTTGTGTTTTGTATGAACTTTGCACAAGAAGTGGTTTAACAAAGACTTTTAGTATCACAACCATGATTTAGCCTTTATTTTTATTGCACTGTGTTGAATTGATTTGAAATATATTGTGTTGAATCAAAAGTGCACTGTATCGAGATATGTATCGTATCGTTGCCTATGTATTGAGGTATGTATTGTATCGGTAACTTCTTAGTGATGCCCAGTCCTAACCACAAATCAGTTTCTGAAACTTTATAAAACACTAAGTTCTTAAACATTTAGCCGAATTTTTGTTTTAAATGTGATTTTTGGACTTAAAACAACCATGTCTTGGAACTCTTAATGTCTAAAATTTTGGAAAATCTATGGGAAAATTCACATTCGGAACCAGATCAGCTGTAAAATAAAAAGTTCTACGGTTCTGCCATTGTTGTTTTCTTCCTCAAAATACTCCATAGTTGTAAAAACTAAAGAGTCAGGAGGTATAAGGAACAGTGTGACCAGTCTAACAGGTATCCACACTTCAGACTTCGCCCCTGCAGTCAGAAACACCTGTCTGTAACCAGGGCAGTCTTTTGTGATGTCACCAACTACTTGAAATAGCAAAGGACACTGAGGCAACATCAACACCAGCTCTGATTTTGGCATGTTTGACCAGAAAGCTGCAAATTGACCTCCACTATAACTCCAAAAATGACTAGAAACAGCAAATAATGCTATTAAAACACCATATATTTAGTGTTTAGCTTAATTTTAACAGAAATTTTCTAACTAACGTTTCTTTATTATGTTCTTTGCAGCTTCTTGAATCCCGGTGGCCGTTTGCAGACAACTTTTTCGGGCTGTTTCTGTGCAAACTGGTGCCGTTTGTGCAGAAAGCGTCAGTTGGAATCACTGTCCTCAACTTGTGTGCTCTCAGCGTGGACAGGTGAGTGTCACACACACACTGGGGTTGTCAAAAATATCGAAAATCAGAACTAATTGATACTAAAACTAGATGTACTTATTTGGACAGGTAGCAATATTAAAACGTCACATTCACAGGACAAAAACGAACCTTTCCTGAACAGTTGTAGAGTGATCTTGTTTATTATCATTGTGGTATCGGTATCGGTATTGAATATACTGCAAATTTCTCTAATCTGGCCATGATTTTAAAACTTATATCAGGTTATTCATCTGTTTTCAGATTTATTGTCTACTTACTAGTTCAGAGATGCTTAATTCTAGTTTAGAACTGGTTACTTGTCAAGTACGCCCTACTTTTTAATTTTTTTAAGTTAGTTTTTATTATTATTTATTTATTTATTTATTTATTTATGTATTTGTATTCATTTGCATTGTATATTTATTTATTTTATTTATCTACTACTACTATTACTATTATCAGTTTTACTTAATTTTTTTTTTTACTTTTTTTTTTTTTTTTACTTTTTTGAAATTGACTTATTTTTTTAGTTTAGTTTTAGTTTTTTTTTAGTTTTTTATTTTTATTTTGGGATGTTTGGCCACTGGGTAGGGGGTTGATAGTAATAGTACTATTCAATACAGTGTCCTCTGTTTGTTTGTTAAAGTTAAAAATTAAAAGTTGGGAAAAAAAAAAGAAAAGTTAACTTCTTAAGCAAAATTATCCTGCTGAATGGATAGACAATTTCACCACTTTTAAATCATTTTCTTATAGCTTTAAGTGTTTATATCTTAAATTTTGTCCAAGCTTTTTCGCAGTGTATCGAGTCTATTCCTTAGTTTCGAAATCAAGTTTGAAATTTTTGTATCATGACACGATCATGACACTAAAATGCCGTGGAAACACCTGAAACGTGTCTATTAGAAGATTTAGTTTGGCCAATGGAAAAGGGACTATAGCCAAATTTTAAGTAAGTCCATGAGTACAGATCGATTGTAAAAGCTCTTGGGGTCAAAATTACATCTGCATCCCATTATAAATCATTTTTACGGTGAACCTCGTGCTCTGTTGGCATGCTAGTTGTTGGTAAAAGTTGTAAAAAACAAGCTTATAAACTCAATGAGGTGAGTAATAATAGGATTGTAGGAATGCATTGGTAAAGGGGTAGGGTTGTTCGGCTGCTTACAGTTTATAATGAAGTAGACGTCAGGTTCGGTGCCTTTAAATGATGAATGCAGCTTGGGAATTGCTAAAGCTAAAGCTAATATGATGTCAGCCTTAGTCCGTCTTAGAAAAACATGGCCCACTTATGAATCACTACCAGGGGAGTTAGCTGAAGGGGCTTGACAGGGGCAGGGTTTAAAATGAATGAGCCTGTTTTTCACATTTTTATAGAGGAGGTTTTTAACTTTTACGGGGCATTAACTGCGAACACGTAACGTATTTAGATCACCGTGTTACCGTTTATTGGTTGGAAAAAATGCCGTATTCGCCGCAAACGATGTATCATGAGTTTTCACTTTTGTTTTTGAAGTTCACACGACAATTCTCCGTAAATACACAAAAACATGACTCAAGTCTGTACACAACGACCTAACAAACCCGATGATGTGATGTGCAGACCTGTGTGAAGCTGGCCCCCATCAAACGCAAACCTACACAAAAACTATGTCAGTTGTTTGTGCTGTTTTGTGCTGCAAAAAGTTGAATTTGTGCTGCTTTAGTTTTGGAGATATTATTGACTCTTTTATAGGGCAAATTTGGGTCGGCCAGTCACACAGAAAGCTTAAAAATGCTCTAAAACGGCCCAAAATGTTGTCAATTTATGCTGCTTTGTGCTTCAAAAAGTTTCATTTGTGAGATTATGGTTCTTAAAATAATAACAGTTTTATTTTCGGCCAATGACGTCTTCCAAAAGTATGTATTATCAAAAGCAAGTTACTAAAGACTGACACAGACTTTTCCACAGCCTGAGATCGTTTCTGTTCACTAGTTTTGTGGAGTTTTGCTGAAGCTGCCGCCATCAGCTGAGTGGAAATGTCATATAATCTCCGCAAAAATAATAATTAATAATCTAAGACAGGGGTGTCAAACTCATTTTGGTCCAGGGGCCATATCCAACCTACTTTGATCCCAAAGGGGCCGGATCAGGAAACTCATGTCATATAAACCCCAAAAATAGTAATAAGTTCAAATATTTGTGCAGAGAAACACAAATCTATTACAGAAATCTTTTTTAATTGATGAACTCTTTCTTTTACAAAATATTATATTATGAACAACCTGAAACTTTAAGAAAAATACAATTTCAACACAATGTTTCAACATTAACTTGTATGCAAATAGGAATAAGTCAATTTTTCTTGGAAAATCCTGCACTCGGCTCCACTTTTCTCATGTTGGACATTTTTCTGATGAGGGTGTCATGGTCAACAGTCAAAACGATCGTCCTTTAAGAGCGTTTGGAAAGAGACAAGTCTTCATTTGTGCTGCTCTGGTGGGAGGGGCCACGTACAGAGACGCTGGAGACGCTGCTGTGATAAGAGACGCAGAAAATTACCAATATTTTAATAGAAAAAATTATAAAAATATTTTAATAGAAAATCAGCCGAGGGCCAGATTAAAGGTCTTGGAGGGCCGGATCTAGCCCCCGGGCCTTATGTTTGACACCTGTGATCTAAGATATGTTATTAGGTTCTTTTTTCAGACCAAGAGTTTGTTTTTATACCTGACAGTTTCAACTGCTCACTAGTGTCTTCCTCACAAAACAGCGATATTCAAATGTTTTGTATCATTTTCTGCCTGTTTTGAGGTCGTTTAACATTTTTAGGGGCTGGATGACACCATTGACTGAAACCAAAACTAATAATATCTTAAGAACCAGAATCGCACAAACCAAACTTTTTGCAGCACAAACGAAGCACAAACGGTTGACACAATTTTGAGTCATTTTAGAGCATTTTCAAACTTCCTGAGGGAGTGTCCGACCCTAATTTGACCTATAAAAGAATCGTTAATCTCTCCAAAACTAAGGAAGCACAAACAAAACTTTTTTTTGCAACACAATTGAAAGACTTAGTTCTTTTGTAAGTTTGCGTTTGATGGGGGACCAACTTCATGGAGGTGCAGTAGTTTCATTTGTGCGATTATGGTTCTTAAAATAATAACAGTTTTATTTTCGGCCGATGACGTCATCCAAAAAGTCTGTATTATTATATAAAATATGAACTAAAAGCAAGTTACTAAAGACTGATACAGAATTTTCCACAGCCTGAGATCGTTTCTGTTCACTAGTTTTACAGAGTTTTGCCGTCACATGAGCAGAAATGACGTCATCTAATTTCAAAAATAATAATTAATAATTTTAGAAATATACTCGCACAAGTGAAAACTGTCACAGCACAAAACAGCACAAATAAAATGCAAATGTTTCATATAATTTTCTGTCTGTTTTGAGGCTGTTTAAAGTTTTGAGGAGCTGGACGACGTCATTGGCTGAAAATAAAACTTAATATCTTAAAAACCATAATCACACAAACAAAACTTTTTGCAGCACAAAGGAAGCACAAACAATTTACATCATTTTTGTGCAGGATTGCATTTGACGGGGGCCAACTTTACCCAGGTCTGCACATCGCATCAGGTTTAAGTTGTTGGTACAGATTTGTATCGTGGTTTTGTATATTTACGGAGAATTGTCGTGGGGGAGCATGGTTGACACCGTTCTTAACAACTTGACAAACCTGTGATGTGATGTGCCGATAACGCTCTGAAGGGGGTGCAGTAGTTTCTTGATAGTGCTTGATCATCTTGTTGATGATTTTTGTGACTATATTTGAATTCTGTCTTAGTTTTTGTTCAAATTTTTCTTATTCTGTGTCTATCTGGCAAGTGTGAGTGAGTGTCTGTGTGTATTGTTGTGTTGATTTTGTTTTTCTATGTTTTATTTTGAATTTATGCTGCCTCATGTCCAGTGTTGGGAAGGTGACTTTTAAAATGTAATCCCCTACAGATTACAGATTACATACACCAAAATGTAGTTTGTAACTGAATCCATTAAATTACTTAAAGTGAGTAACGTAATCTGAATACTTTGGATTACTTGGTTTGCTGTAGAGAAGCAAAGACTCGGACATCTTCACGTAAGATGTTTTGTCTGCTAAAATAAATAAAAATAATAAAAAGTCCAGACTTTACTTAACCAAATTAAAAATATTATTGATAGAAGAGGAGGAGACATGGTCCGCACGGCATGATTTACTCCTTTTAAATCCTGTGTGAGACATAGTTCAGACCTGGTTTAGTCCTGGTTGAATCCTGGTTTAGATGTGGTTTATTCTTGGTTTAGTCCTCGTGTGGATCTGGTTTAGACATGGTTTTAGTCCTGGTTTAGTTCTGGTTTAGTCCTAGTTTAGACCTGGTTTTAGACCTGGTTTAGTGTCCGGCAAAAAAAAAAAAAGGGATATAGCCCAAAATGTGAAAACAGGAAAATACCTCTGTGTAATCCATTTATTTCAACCAAGTAACTGTAATCCAATTACCACTCACTTAAACAGTAACTGTAACCAAATACAGTTACTCATAATTTGTACTCTGATTACATAACTCTGGTACATGTAATCTGTTATTCCCCAACACTGCTCATGTCTGCCATACAATCTGTTTTTTGTTGTCGAAAACAGGATGGCGAGACATCTCAAGGGCTTATTCTCCAAACAAATAAATTCAAATAAGGCGGATTGACTTCAGAAATGAAATGTGTCAAAAATGAAAGCAATTTTGAAACATGTTAATATGTTTTTTTCTGCAAATATAGCCTTTTCAAAACAATAAAAGCCAACATGGTGATCTAAATATGTTATGTGTTTGCAGTTATTACCCCATAGAAGTCAAATACCTCCGCTTTACGGTGCAGTTATTATTTAGCAACACCAAATAAAAGTTTTTGTACTTTTCTCATCCTCTCATCCTCGGTGAGCTCATCCATAGTGCATTGCCATTAGCCCTGCAGTCCCCCGCCA